GTTGATTATCTCCATGGGAATCTGGTGCTTTTGGCAGGATCTAGCAACACTTTCCGGTACATAAATATATACGAAAATGCTCGGTCAATATAACAGAGATTCTTGATACCCGAAGCAACACCATTTAAGGCTTGATAAACCAGTTTCCTAATTAGACTGTAGAGCTCAAAGGAGGAGAGATTATGTCTTTCTAGAACATTCTCAAGTTATGTGCCATTATTGGCTGGCGACCCAGTTCTACAAAGCTAGAATTTTCTGCATTCGGCAAATTTCTGAAGGCATGCATAGCAACGCTTTGAAAATGGTCCGTTTTGAGCGTAAACAACCGGTCTTTCCCGTGAATAAAACTGATCATGCAATCAGTCATAAAGGGTGGATGGTGCAAAAAAAATCGAACTTGCATTGTTAGAAATCATAAACCAGTGGCAAAGCAGCGGAACAATTTCTTCACATCGTGTTAATTTCAACAACAAAGTCAACTCAAATGTCAAGTTTACTCCATGTTTGGTTACCATAGCATCTAGTCCTGGAATCAACACAATAATTACTCCATTAAAATCTGTAGTTATTGGTTGTAGGTGAGATGATTGCCAAACCGCAGAATTCTTTTGCCACCACAAAATCACACAATGCATCAAACCGAAACAAAGGAGTATACCGAAAAAAAAATCAGGACAGGAGCGGCAAAGTTCGACCGAGGACACCCGGGGTGGGCCGGTAAGGGCGGCCAAGGCAAGTCTTTAGGGCGGTCGAGTTTCCCACCGGATCGGTGTGGATGTCTGTTCATCTCCAGTTTCCCATCATGTTCTTGGCAACCCCTCACCGAACCTGTGAAACCGTAAGACAAGACTCCCTCCCCTCGCTCAAGTACCACGCAACGCAACGGTCAGATCTGAATATTAAAGAGCAATTAAGTGGTCGACAATCCCCCCCCCCCGAAATCCCATCCCCTCCTCGTGCTTGCTCTCGCGTCACAGCAGCCCCGATTTCGAATATGAGGCAGCCACTGCGTCAGTGACAACAGAGGTAACAACTCAAAGAAGAACATTTACAGCGCCCGTAGCAGCAATAACCGTCTGTTACATGAACGACACAAGATAGAGGAAATCAATTTAGAGCACTCTATTATGATCGATCTCCACGGTCCAACGAACTCGAGTAAGAAAGATCTTCAGTGTGTTAATTTTTCTCCCTAGAAATTGTGACCGCCGAAACTGACAAAAAAGTCCCGATCCCCTCTCAACCTCTCCACTTCTGTTTAACAGTCAGCACTGTTCTGGGTCCCCTAGCACGGCATTCGTTACACCATAAACGACCATCACAATTCATGTTTGTGTTATGTTGTTGGCGGATGGGTTACATACGTCAGTGTTGAGCATGGTCGTGTCGATGCGGTAGTCCATGTTCCTCGCTACCTCCTAGGGCGATTCCGAGGGGGTCGTCCCGTGTTTCCAAGTTACAAGGAGAAAAATGAGATGGAACAATATCGAACACGTAGTAAACAACAGTAGCTGACGTTGCTTGGACAAATAAAACATTGCTTTACGACCCTCTCGGCTCGATTTTTTGGCAGTAGAAAGTAGAAATGGGAATGAAAATTTCGAGAAAAAATATACATATCAAGGGAGCAATGAAAGTTGTGATAGGCTGACACAGCGTTTTACAATTATTATCCCCGCCCATCAGGCCACGAGATTTCGATGGACGATATCAACGTATGCCATCAGAGGCACGGGTATACGAACAACAGTGGCGAGAGGCAAAATGTGGGTAATGAGTGGCTTGTCAGAGGTCACAGCACGTATCTACTGGATTCGAACCCTCGTCTCAAACAGCAGTCAGAAACCCAACCATAAGCCAGGCGTCCCCCCCTCGATCCCCTCTTGAACTGTGCAGATGTTCTATTCGTTTTCGATGGGCGCTTAAGTAGCCACTTTAAGTTTTAAAAAATGTCAATATTCACCAACAGTACATTCGCCGGATGTAAGTTGTGTCTTTCATGCCGACAGGCCGATTAAGTATGCCTTATTTACCGAGCGGTGCTTAATGATGCGTCCTTAAGCCCCATCTATCACGCATCTTCGACACCCACGCTCACAGGGCTGCCATTGAAAACGCATGAGCAACGGTGGTTAACCATTCTCATATTTGCAACGAGCATGAAAGTTCAAAGACATGAAAGTTCAAACACGCGATTTTTATATTGTAAACAAGGTACTTCGCTTTAAAGCTAGTACAAGTGCCCTTTGGAGATGTCAGTGCAGCCTTGACATCCACTTCTTTCAATCATTGGTCGGTGTATCTCAATATTTGCACTCAGTTTCCACCGCCAAATAGATGCCGTCGCTGGCGTACCCAAGGAAATCCTCCAGAAACAGTGCCAGGGCTAGATTTGATACTTTGGGGGTGGAGCAAGTAGGGGAAGGTTCGTTGGGGGCCAAAAAATAATTTCCAAATTTTGACGTACATTCTGGACACAATGTGTGCCCAAAATCAGATTTTCACCCTCCACTTCCAATACATTGCTGATTCTGAACGACGAAGGAAATAAACCAGAATTAATCTTTGGCGGTGAACCCCCCCCCGCCCCACAGCGCCGCCACTTCGAGCAACTCTCCTTCGATAAGTCCACGACGTTCTCCACCCTGAACCCATGGGTTTGACTTCCACTGTCTGATACGGATGTATCTTGTTCTGTGCTCCCGATGGGGCCGGAACTAGTTTCACTTTCTTCCCGGCACATTCGAATGTCTCAAATGTTTCGAACTGGCCGAGTGATCGTAAGGATGGAAGTACTGACCAGAATACGACAGGTTCTATTGTCTATTTCTATCAGGTCCTAGCTGTAGAAACCATGGGGTTGATTTTGAGGTCAGCAACTGGAGTGGCTGTAAAGCGCAACGAGCCAGGTTGGAAGGAAGAAAGACCTGGCAAGGTTAGCCAGCCTATCGGTCTCGCTGGGCCGGCATTCGGACGTATTGCGCAACCCAGTAGTTGTCACGTGGGTGGGTTAGGATTTCGCGGGATGGCCACGAGGCCCGAATAAGGAACGCACCTACATCAACTTCCTACCAACGCTTGGAACAACATAACCGTGGCAACAATCTATAATGCAAACTTCTCTTAGCTCCCTGTGTTGACGGGGTGGGTGCTTGTGTGTTACTAAGATGTTCTCCATCACAAAATCAGTCAAATTGCAACCCGCACATGTCCTACCGGACAAGCCACATAAGGACAGACCGAATTTCTTTTAACCAGCTCTTTCTGGGTGTCTGCCACAGCCACGAGGCATCTGAGAAAGCTATCAGCAGCTCATTCTTATCCGAGCTAAATATGGATTATTTCTCCATCAGGCCGTTGGACTTGTCTGGACTTCGACGAGGAAATAACGCTAAACGAGTTGGCCTGTGCGTGGGCACTTTTGTATTTACTGAGTGGGAGTTGGGTTAACCGGGTTAACCTTCATTTTGCCGTTCTTCTTCCCTTTGCGTGCAGCATCGCCACGGTTCAGGGAAGCACGTGGGGAAGTAGCATCGTTGATTACGAAAAAAGTGCGGTGTCTTCGTTGTTTAAAGATGACTCTCGGCGGCTTCGCTGTAGGGATTATTGTGCCACGTTTTTGCCTGCTTTGCCTCTTTGATGGTATCAAGCGTTTCATGCACAAAACGTACAAGCACTCTAAGTTGTTTTTTAAAGTTTTGTCTAACTCTTGAAAAAAAGGAGCACTGCTTTTATTTTCAAAGAGATAATTTGGCTGGTCGTGGCTCGTTTCCAACTGGTCAAGACGATTTTGTCACTACACAATCAGTCCAATTCGAAACAAAAAGAACATGCGAATGTTGACTCTCTCCTGTGAGTGTATTGATCGACTTACACCTGCTTTCTTTCAACACTTTTATAAGTTTATTCGGTACTCCAACACATTTGACATTTGGATATATCTGTGTATACATTATTAAATGTACGCCTATTATTGAGGATAATTTCTGGTGGGACGAAGAGTCCATTTTTAGTCATGTTATTATGATCACAGGGATTGGAGCATCTTGGGCTGGTTTTGCACGCAATCTTGACTGCGGTGCAACGGCTGTATCTTCACCACCGGCTCAGGGCTTCCCCGCTTGTCAAAATGTGACTTTACTCGGAAGGAGAGATTTCCCCAGAAAAGAAAAAAATTCTCTCTCTCTCTCTCTCTCTCTCTCTCTCTCTCTCTCTCTCTCTCTCTCTCTCTCAGAGAGAACCTGTGCCAGATGTCTGAGGCATAACTCTTTCCCCCCATTTGGGGCTCCTTGGCATTGGTCGTTTTATATATCAAATTGCCTAAATAATACAGTTCGTGCTCTCGGGGTCTCGGTCGGAACGTGGGAGCATGTCAAGCCTTTCTACCTGCTAGTCCCAGGTGAACCGGGGGGCAATCAATGAAGGCAGCCTCGATCATACATTTCCATCTGTTTTCTCCTGCCAGGATCCGCAGTGGCGGGAGACTCCAGGGCAGTGTTGTGCTTGCTCGGCACTCTAAAAATATACCCCCTATGTTCTTTTCTGTTTTAAGAGGTATTTCGTGCTGGGCTTAGGGTGACTTTTTTTGTCTTGTTATGAGGTGCCCGTGGCTTTGGCCACGCTACTAGTTGCGCCGACGGCATGGTATATAATGGAGTCGGTTGGAGATGTATCGCCAGTATCCAGCCTCCTAACGTGATCTTGCCGCGAGTAACATTGTGTATTGGCGAGCGGGGGGTTTCATTCGCAACATGAATGGTCGGGTGTATCGCCGCCTGTCACCCAATCAGGCCTGCTAAGGTGTCGCACCGGAGGGCCTCTCCTTCGGTGTTCCATTAAAGGAATCTGCACTAGCGCATCTCGGCCGTCTATCGGCGACCTGCAATTTGCATTGTGTCACCTGACAAACCGTGGGGCCCGCCCTCCTGCTTCAAGCCCATAGGCCGTTCGGGTGGCTGCGACGTTAAGGACCGGACCATTGCGAACTGAGGCTTGGGTGACCGAGTTGATTACGCTATACGCTTCGTATACAAGCAGGTTCATTTCTGCATCCAGATATTGCCTGCATCACACGCGCAGAACAGGGGGGTTGGCATCGGGGACAAAATTAGGGTGGCAGTCAAACAACTCGTTTTCCCCCCGAGTCTAGTGCCATGCACACGCAAAAGGTGTCGTGGATGATTCAGAGCTGCACAAATAATTGATTTGTGAGGAGGAAATCATTCAGATGGCGGGGAGTGGCTTGGATCGCTACAGAGATGTCCTGGACACAACAAATAGCTCCCTCGTTTAGGTAGATCGACTTCCGGAAGCGGAGAGGAGAGGAAAGAGAGAGAGCCCGTCTTGTTTTGTGCTTCTGGCAGTGATGTATGGCTACGGGGAAGCGATGCGTTTGCGTAGGTGACGCACCAGTGATCGCTAGTTGCTTTTTCACGGTGGCCCGTCAAGCGAGAAGGCCAATTGGTTTTTTCCCCACACGAAATTGATGCATAACTGAGTAAAAAAAATTGTCAGTGTGGTGGAGCTGCGTCCATTGTGCGGTTGTCTGCTGTTTGCGGGGATATTTCTTTTTCAGTACATTTCGTTTTGTGTGGCAACCAGCGGGGTAATATACAGCAGAAAGGAGTCACTCTGCTCCAGGGCTCCACGACAGCAGGTAACAGCCAATGTCTTACAGGAAACAGTGAATCTGTACTGTGGGATAAGTAGACTGCTCTCGTGCGTTTTAAACCAAAGGGAGGATCCTAGAATATTTAACTGGAATTTCTGTGTGACAGGTTGATGTCCATTTTTTTCTATTTTCAAAGATGAACGAGCAACGAAGCGAGACGGGTTTAAATTGGTGCTCGGCGGACTGCGTCCAAAGCTACAAACGGGATAGAGATTGTGGATACGATAGTGCCGACAGTTCAGCAGCGGTGATCAGTGGGTCAGGTGCGCAGCATCGTCTCCGGCGCTTGCATCATCGCGGGTGCATCAGGAGTGAGGACAGGCAGAGCAGCTTCTGTCAACGGACCGGTGGCAAGAGCGGTGCCGGACCCCTGGTGACGAGGTCCGCTAGCCCTTGCCCGTCGTGTGCCGGCCGGGGTCGGCGTCCCGATGAAGCAGCCGGCATGGCCGGCGGGAGGTTAAGCGCTGGGACCACTGCGCCGAATTGGCGCGAGGCCAGACGGATTCGACCCCGGAGTATGATTCATTTGGAATTGGGCGCGTTGGTTTGCCTCCAGAGGTGGTTTACTGTGGCCGTGGCGTGGATGTCGTCACGTCTGTTCTCCGGAGGTTGGATAGTTTATCTTTTCTGCTACCTCATACTTCTCCATAGCGGTTGCTCCCTCTCACACGCGTGGGAGAATCCACGCCAGGTAAGATGAATTCATTTAAATATCTGTACTTTACTCTTTATTCCGTCTCCTCCTTCGGTAAAACAAATCAGCCTTTGCAACAAGTAAACAGACTATAAACAGTGGACAAGTACAAAATAACCGTTTTTAGAACAGTTCTTTAAGTAAAAGCGTTCCAAAGTATACAAACTAAATGAGTGCGTGTACTTACTTGAATTGTGAACCCTCACATGTATTTTGAAATGGGCTGAAAAAGTCAGCAGACTTTAAAGGCAACAGTGGTCGCTTTCGATAAACAGACATGGCCGCCGAAAATGATACACAAACTTCACAAAGCTTGATCGTAAATCATACTTATATGGATTGCAGCGTAGGGGGAAAAAGTCAAGACCACAAGGGAAATTTTCATCATGACTGAATATTTCCCGGGGAGACCAGGCTTTATATAAGATTTGTTCCATCGACAACGATTAATCATTTATCGATGCCTGTGAAATAGTTACAATACTTAGGATTTCTGTGTGTAGCCAGTCGCTTCAGGCGGTCAGACGATGTCACAATTCATGTCAGTTTCCTGAAAACAAAATGGCATTTGCTGTTTTGGCTCACGTCGGAGGCGGGCTAGCGGCCTACTATGTATTTCACTAGAGCGGTCCATTTAGGGCGATAAACGGTTACCCAATGGTTCATCTTGGGGGTCCGCTGTATTCTGTATCACCCGTTGTCACACAATACACAAATGGCTGAGCGAAATTTTAAATGGGTCTGATGGGGGTTGTTAAGCCCAATAATTCTCCCCAAGCAAGGCCATGTGCAAATGAGATTTTCGCCTGACGAGGTCATTACGGTCGCAGAAAGAAAAATAAAAATTGGCAGTTAATTTTTCACCGCAGTTGAAGGCTACCCTTTTGTCAACCCAACAGTAGTACACGTATAAATGCACTTAAAATCTAGAATTAGAAAGATAAAAAACCCTAAAATCTCGGGAAGGGAAGTTACACGACCTTGGAAATACGCGACAACGTAGAGGAAGAAAATCGACACAGCACTGTGTGTTAAGTTCTGGAAAAGCACAGATTTTCATTCAACAAAGCCCAGTGTTTTGACATAATTATGTAGAGCCATGTGCGTGTACACTCCAATATATACAATATTTGCTTTATAGTAACACCAGGCTATAAATTTGTCAAACCGCTAGACATATGCGATTCAGTATACCGCATATTACAGGGTTAATTTACAACTCTACGTTTTCCAGTAAGTTGATCCCAAATATATAACCTCATTCCGCGGTAGCGGAACGCAATAACATGCACCTGCCGTGAGTACGACATCGTCTGAAGTCGTGCCTGCAAGATGATTCCCCCTCCCCCAAAATAGGATAATCGCCAGGAATCAGCGGATAAGCACTCGGATTTTCATGATGCGATAAACTGTCGCAAATACCCGGACCCGCAGGGCAAGCCTTGTTCCTCCTGCAATGCTGCTGTCTGGCCGGTGGGGAAACGCCATCAGTCATCAAATTAGGCAATCATACTCAAGCATTGACTACCAGGCACGCAAGGCGCCCCCGCTCTACTCTGCTTCTAGACTGAACGTTTTTAATACTGGTTTCTATTTCTAGACGTCACGGTTCTATCCCCCAACCCCTACCCACAATATTGAAAGACCCACATCAACACCTTGTTTTGCCGATTATATCAAACTGCCGGCAACAGTCTCGTTTCCATCACGTTGCCCCTCGAAACGAGCAGGAAAGTGCATGCCGACCTTGACTCGGGCTCCTGAACTTCTCAAAGTGATGACGTAGCCACTTTGAAGGAAGCCGTGTGGTCTGGGATTGTCGAGTCTTTCGTGTGTAAAAGCAGCGCCCCTGTTTGTACCCATACAACTAGTGGAGGAAATTGCGGTCGTGCTTCAAGTTCGCAAACACAACTAACCCTCAGCCACGAAATACTTTAAATTGTTGTTTTCAGACACTGGGCAACACTTTAGGATGTGTATGGTGTCCTCCTGAACCAATTAATAAGAACATGTCTTCCGGTGTACAGGATATTGTATGGCCCTCCGACCGAACCGTTTCCTTAGATCATCAGTTTATCCCACATCTTTACTGCTTGTATTTCTGATTGGAAACATTTGAGGTTAAAGGTTCCAATTTTTTTTGCTCCGATAAATAAATCCCATGATGATTGACCACGGTAACTATTACCATATTTTGAAATAGAATCCTTGGGGGTTGTTTTATGTTCAGCTCCTGTGAGATCTGGGGCGAAGAACACTTTAAAGGAACCAGGAAATAGAAATATTTTTTATAAATTTTACTAAAAACCCTTGAAATTGCATCTTTAGGTTTCAATTAACCTCATTTTAAATGTTTGTTTCGCAATTTTAACCCATATATTGATGCTTTTTTGGTTTTATGCTAATGAATTTGCATATTCATGCGCAGAACTATGATGTCATCCAAGGCACTGCATCTCACTGTTGCACTGATTTGTGCACAGCTATGGCAGATTTTATTGTCTTTGGCAATTTATTGCTGTGTAAGTATATGGCAATTATCCAGCAAAAATCCTTTTCACAGAAATGTTCCCAGATAGCAAATTTGGGATTCACAATTTGAACATGAAAACATGCAACCGGAACCATGTCTCCCTGTATTTACATCAAAGCAAAAGCGCCCTCGCTTGTCCAGAAATGCTTGGTCAATTTTTAATGTTTAAAAAAATGCACTGTTCAGTTCACGTAACTCAAAAAAGATGTCAAACAGTCTTCCTACATGGAAAAAGAGAACAGAGATACGCAAAATGTGATTCAAAGAAAAATTCATTTCCTGGTTCCTTTAAGGTTATTCCAGTGTTTTAAAGATTGCACTGATGCAATGTGTGTGATATATCATTCTGGCTGCCAGCAAGATTAGCTTCAGCTTCATTCTTTCATGAAATCAGCGAGTTCGCGACCAACGAGTCCAGGAAAAGGCTGCCTGACTCCTCGGAGCAATTTGCGAAATCGAACACACCATTTTCATGTACCTCCAATGTCGTGCACGCAATGTCTGGCAAGTAGGTCACAAGGGATTCTCTCTCTCTCTCTTTCTCTTTAATTCTTTTTCGACAAGGGGAGGTAAAGAAATCGTGGACTCACAGGATGCCATATTCGCATGAGGCGAGTCGCCCCTTTTCGCCTGAGGTACCTCCCGGAAGCCTAGCAAATCCGGGCATTGGCCCAAGGGAGCCGGCTGGCCCAAGTTGTAACTGATTGGGGTCAGGCATGAAGTAGTCATTAATTCACAGAGCGTCGCCGTGGTTTTTTGAGGCAAAAGTGCAGCCATACCTTAGGTTATTCAATTTAGGAACACCGTTGCTTGTATTTTACAGAACTGGACCAAAGCAGATCTTCAGATTGTGCTTCTAATAGAGACATTTCTCGTCATATCCTTTATATTCACTTTGTGTTCTGCTTTATTCGTGGTTTTGTCTTGATTGGCTTTCTTTTAATTTTAGGGTGAGAGCCAAGCTTCAATGAGATCCAACCTACGAAAGCTTTAAAATAACATCTCGTGTCCCCGATCAGAAAAGTTCACAGCCTTCAAGCTATCGCTCAGCTGATGTGTGATTCATTGCCAGACATTGTTTGGTGTCTGTTAATATTTTTCGTGGTTTATTCAGGGGCAAATTGCAAGTATCGGGTAACCCGAGCAATCAGTCGCTGGCATTTTGTTCTCTTGTCTTGTCTCGGGTCCATGTCTCGTGATCAAGTCGTGTGCTCAGGGCACGGCCGGCGAAGCGTGATATACGGCATTCTGAGATATAAAACGAAGTGCAAAGAGGCACTGTACAGTAGATAAAATATTACAGAGAGGAAGAAGCGCGAGACTCGTAATCTCCTATGTTAATGTTGCAGGTACCTTTAGCTGTCTTTAATGTGTAGCATTGTGCACCATTGTCCAATTCAAGGTGCTGGGGAAATTATCGCGAAAAAGACATCTTTGAATTACAAATTGAGGATTGGCTGACATGCAGCAAGGTATGAGACGGAGAGAACCCCCCCCCCTGCTTTGTGTTGGTCATTATCGCGCAGGAATCTGGGGAATTCCTTTCAGACATCTTGGGGGGGATGTGTTAAGTAACAATAGTCTGGAATGTGTATAGGGATTGGACATGTTGGGGGGGGGTACCCCTCGGTCTCATTTCTTGCTGGGTATATTGGCTGAATAAAATTCATTGTAGCGTGTCACTTTGTATACATTTGGCTCGATGAGCGACGGTATAGGAATGACCACATGGTATTGCAGGGCATTTTTACAGCTGATGTTTACGATTTTTTTTCGTGCTTGGAATGATTTATATGTTCGGCAAACCCATTAAAGTGCAACCAGAAAGTTCAACAGAACTCTTAAAAAGGCAAGGTCGTTTATCTTTTAAGTACAGTCGTGAGCATCTGCAGTTTGGTAAGCCGACTGACCTGTTGTCGTTAAATAATTTTGCAAATAAATTTCCTTGCTAGAAATATGTCGCGTAGGTGCCGTACAGGATTTGGGTGGATTCACACCTTCAATTTAGTCTAAGATGTTTAGTGGTAAATTGAGATTTTGTTAAGCTGTCTAAGTCGAGTCGAGGATACAGTATGCATTGTGTTGCATAGCCCATTGCAACCTGTTCACTCCCTGGAATCGGTCGGTCAGAATGTAACCTCCTGGCATGGTACACCTTCGAATTCTTTCAAAGGTCTGAGTCCCAGGTACGCAAGAAGATCGTCAGGTTGAAGCGAGGGGTGGGCTTGCGCATAATATCTCATAGAACTTGGGAATTGATGCGCGCCTGTAACCCGTGTGAGACATCCAGATAACACGAGATTGCATTAAAAGCGCAATGGGACCGACGCAATTCACAGAGTTACATTAACCAAAAAAAAACCTCTATGGCTTTACTATATATAGGGCCGTATTTGTGATAACTGGAATTGACACTATATTGAAGTGCAAGTGTCTCAGTGTTACATGAAATGTGTGTATTATA